TCCTGTCAGCACACACACACACACACGCAAACAAACTCAGTCAATATAGTGTTCCGCTATAGAAGATTAAGAAACTAAATATTGTGCTTTTTGACAGGTCTACGGCCTTTCTGTGACAGAAAACTGAGCAAAGTAGTAAAGTGTCTCCAAAGGGTATCGAGCTCATTAAAGGAGGTAACCTTACGTCTCTGGTTTGGTAATTATTCAATTGTCTTTGATGTTTTTTTTCTTTCTGGGATGCAAAAAAAACCCAACATCCTCACCCTCCACATTTAAGTCCTAGAGCCATGAGGGCAGACTTCAATCTGTCCAGACCCAAGGAGGCCAACTCCTGTGGAAAAGCATTAGAACAGACACATCAGTATGAATAAGATCCCGGAGCGTTAAAATGAAATGATCAATCTAAATACTTAAGAGTTTTACCTCCCAAGAGGAGAAGGCAGAGAGGTCCAGATGAGCTCCAGCATGTGTCAAAGCACTGCTCGTTTCTTTCTAAAAAAAGGTGAACAAAGAACAGGTCTGATAAGAACAAAGACTAGAAAACCAGAAATCATCATCACATATAAAGAACGGTGAGGAGAACTTACAGGCCAGCCGGGAAAATTCCCAATCTCCCATTTTTTCTCAAAGTCCACAGCACTTTGCCATAGAGCTCGTTCTGGTCCAGCAGAGGTTTGACCCGGTCTGTGTAGTCCTGCAGATACTCCAACAGCATCTCCAAATACCTGCGCACACACGGCCGACACATCACGTTTGTTTGACAGCAGAGTGCAGCCACAATCTACACATTTATGCCGATTATCACTCAGAACATCAGCCTGATTGATTAGTTTCCTCGTCTTTACAGTTGAAATTAAAAAGGATTGAAAGCTCAGTGGTAAATGGAGTGAATATGATGGACCTACTTTTTGTATTCAGCGTTCTTCCTGTCCTTGGGATGTCAAACAGCTGGTCGAATGAAGACAGGTAAGCGATGTACTCGAGTTTCTGCAGGGAAAGAAAAGAGATCACGGTTTAAAAAGTGTTGGAGGAGCAGCGGTAGAAATGATAAAGACTTTAAAGGATCGTTACCTCAGCTCCCTTCAGGTTGATGAACTTCAGGTAGCAGTCGTGGAGGTCCAGGTAGCGGCCGTATCCTTCCTCGTCAGAGAACTCCACCAGGTCTGTGAAAGAGAACAGATATCACTCAATGATCTGTCACACCAGGCAAACTAGAGTTCATATTTGTGTAAGGTTAGAACCTACTCTGAGCCTCCTCAGTGGGGTTTTCTCTGGCCTTCATCAGCTCCTCGAACTCCGCAGACATGGGAATGGAAATCTACAGGAAACACACGGCAGTGCATTGTTACTGTTCAGGTTTTTAAGGGTTTAATAAGTGCAACCATTAGAAGTGTAAAGGGTAACTACCTCATTTGGGTGCTTCCTGTGAAACTCCTTTATCTGTTTCAGTCTGTTGTAGAACTCTGCAAACTCGTTTGGTCCTGAGATGGCAGCAAGTTCGTCCCTCCTCATTCTGTCAGGAAGATGAAACATTTGAAGAGAACAACAACAACTAAAAACATCTACGATTTTCTACGAGTAACGTTCTCCTTCTGTCATTAAAAGGATCATTAAAACACATCTGGATTTAAGGCAGGCTACTCACCCATCTTTGTCTTCATAGGAGTCTCGGAGGTTTGCGCTCACATCCATATATCTCTGTGAAAAGACAAACAGACTGTTAAAGATGTCCATACAACTTAGGAATACACCACCAGTCAAAAGTCTGGACACACAACAGAAACAGTATTATCAATAAAACAGTATATTATTATAATATAGTTACTGTGAGCTGTTTCTAGGGCACACCTACTAATAAAAGAATTTGTCTTTCTTTTTTACTAGTTTCCACATTTTAGAATAGTAAATATTAAAAACAATAAAACTTTTGTTTTGGAAATCAAGGCATGCATGCATAGGCATCAACTTCACTATTTCTATTTAAATAAGAAACACATGTCAAACATTTAAGCAGAAGCATTTACATCAGAATGTCTTAAAGACAATGAGGTGCATTTCAATCAGCTGTGTCCAAACTTTTAACTTGTGTTATTGAGTTCTCTCTCTCTCTCGCTCTCTTGACATCTTTTTTCCGTCCTTTAAAATCTAACAAGCAGCTTTTTAAATCTGCATTCTGGGGCTTGTTGCTCTCTTAAAAGCAGAGCACAAAACATCCGACTGCTGGCTGTATTATGACTGCAAGTATCACAACACTTAATGTGCCTGAACCATTTAAGAAACTCAGACAAGAAGATACGAAAAATATAGAGACAGACTTGACCTACATGTGTAATGCTTTAAGGGCAGTTCATTTATGTATAAGAAAAATGTAAAAAAAAAACACTCATGCACTTTAACTTATGTCAATACTGTCCATCTACAACTCTGTTTTTGCACATTTACATTCAATCTGCCATATTTAATCTTCCTATTAAGACTAGTAATGTTTAGTTAAATCCTGGTTGTATATATTCACATTCTTATTTTTGATATCTTTTAGTACTTATTTACTTTGTAGTTAATATTATATTGTGTTTAGATTTGCTAACATTGTGTGTTTTTTACTCATATTGTGTGTTTGGATAACCTGCTGCTGTAACGTCACAATTTCCCAGTTTGGGATCAATAAAGTCATTCTATTCTATTTTATTCTATAACATGAAGTTTAGTGTAGATATCTTTGAGCGACACTTTCCTGAGGTCAGCTACAACATTTGAGGAAATACAAGTCTAAACTTTAAATGACTAAATAACAGAAAACAACTTTTAAAAAAGGTGTGGATAAGTCAGCCGGTTAACTATAGTTAAGTGTCACCATAGCAACGTTAACGTTCTAAAACCATAGCAACGTTAACGTTCTAAAAACCAATACTAACGTTGCAGAGTAAATATTAGCGGTGAAAAAACAAACAAAACAATCTTTCTCACATCCAGCATCGCTCTTGTTCGGTGGTCAGAGTTGATTTGATCCCTCAGCTGTCGGAAAAAAAGAAAATAAATCAAGGTCAGAGTGAGTAAACTTCCAGATGTTTTAATTCTGCGTTCTGCTGATTAGCATTGATGCTAACGCTAGCGCGAAAAGCGAACAAGCTCACCGTGGACTTCTTGTGTAACATTTCTTTCGTCTTCGCGTCCATCAGCCGCTCTTTCTCTTCGTGGTAGCGACGCTGCTGCTCTAAAATAGTCTCCATTGTTTTTAAATGTGTGTGTTAAGTTCACTAAAGACAAGACACGGGGGTTTAAAATACCCGTCTTTATCAAAGTGAAGCGGTAAACCACCGAGTCGGTTACGTTTGTTTTCAATGGCGCATGTTGAGCAGCGACGCGTCCGCCACTGCCCCCGTCGTAAGGGAAACATCGAGTCAGTCAAAGGTTCCGCGTCATTGACTTGATCGAAAAGACGGACAATCATTTTCTGATGGTGTGAATTTGTGAGTATTTAAGAGAAATGTGATTTAGTGACACCATCTGGATGTTTTCTTTATTTTTTTTTTTAGAAGACGCACCAAATGTTTAGGGGGTACAACATGATGTTTCATAAATCTACTGATCAGTTCAACTACAGAAGTAGTCCTAATGTTTGAAAATAACTGTGGAAAAATCTATTTATATATTGATATAATCTAGTGTATCCCCTTGCCGTCAGAGCTCAGGTCACCACAGCACAGAACTCATGAACTCCACTGCTGTAAATATCACTAAGTGTCTTGGAGTGCCTAGACTGTAAATCACTTACTTCAGGGAAATAACTCGTGGAATCAGACTGCACACTTCTTTTTTTTTTTTTTTAAAGCAAGATTAATTTGGCAGTCCTCTTTCTTTTTTTGCACTTCCTTTGTAGTCTACAGTATCATCAAAGCCATGCCTCAGAGAGCACACACTTTGCGCGGACTCGCGTGGGAGCGGGAGCGCGCACGGAGGCGGATTGATTTGTCAAGCTGCCGTGAACAAAAAGAAACAATCGGAACTGACGATTATCTGCCTGACGATAAAAGACTGATTTAAATGCATAATCAAAACAGACAGGATAAATAGGCAAAACAGGACATGGTTCGACACTGTTTTTCAGAGTCATTTTTTTCTCTCCTCTAATAAATAAATAAATAAATAGACGCTTTCAAAAAGGAAAAAGAGATACATAGTAAATGTATACTTTCTATTCAAAATGATGGATTGTCAGTCAATTCTCTCTTTGTTAGCTCACTTGAAGTTATTCATGACTTTTGGGGGCAAAACGTAAGATATACAGTATTTACAAACATTTACATGATTTAATCTTAGATTTAAATACATGTTTTTAATTCATGCAGTGCAATCACCATATGCATTACTTAGCCAAGGTTTATTCTGCATATAGAAAAGGTATACATAGATTAGTTTTAATATATTTTGTGTCGTTATAAGTGTGATGTATTTTTATTATAGTTATTTTAATTTTATTAAACACTTTTTCTCTACTCTAAATATTTGGCAGATGCAAGTAATGCATCACTTTTCATCAATGATCAAACATCTTCTTGAAATAAGTTTAGAAGTGATGAGCCTTCTGAGATAAATAAAGAATCCCGAAAAGTAAAAGAACAAAAAAAAACTTGTGTGTGCAAGATTATTATTATTATTTATTTTTTCTGTAGATAAACGTGAGAAATAACATATTCTTAAACAAGAGAGACTGTAGATCATTTTTCCAAGTGTGACATTGCCCATGCTTCTTTTGAAATTGAAGAGATTTATTATAATAATTATTATAAATATGTTACTGCTGGTGTTTTTTTTCTTCTTTCTACCATGCATTCATGTAGCCTTTTGTTCTCTTTTTTTTTTGTATTTAAAAGTTTGATCGTAGCTGAAATTTAAAGACATTAAAACAATCTTTAAAAAAAAGAAAAGAAAAAAGAAATCGGGGCTTTTATTTTGTGTCTCATAACCGGAAACGACGCATGTGTCATCAGTGAGCTCGACGGTCGCGGTTTGGCACATTCTCCAGCAGCAGTCAAAGCAACGGACGGAGAGCAGCGGACACCCAGTGTGACGGATTACGGACTGTACAGTGGACATTATCTCAAATTTCTCCTGCAGCCCAGCGTCCAGCCTGCTTGTAAAGGTGAGTCAGCCTTATTCTTCTCCGAAAAAATCCAACTCTACGTGAAAAATACACGTTATCCTGTGGAGGAAGGGGGCGGCGGTGGTGGTGTTGGGGAAGAGAGAGAGAGGAGAGGGAAGGGGGGGCATCCATTCTTTCTTTTGTGCTGGAGCAGAAACCCAGTGGTCAGTTTGAAAAGCTCCCGAACTGGATACTCTTTATTATCGCCTGAGTGTTTTAGCTGAGCTTCATCTCTGTGTTTCTACATCAGGGTACCGAGGCTGTCTTGCTGTTAACCCCCCCCCCCCGCTGAGAGGTGGTAAACCCGGTCTGGGGTGGTGGGTGCCCGGGGTGCTCCTTGACATCCGTGCCTTACGTGGTACCGATTTACCAGAACCCCGTCCACAACATCAACACTTTAAGAAGATCTCCCTTAAACTGCGTGTTCACACCTGAAATTGACATCGTTAATGTGCCTTTAAGACCCTTTAATACTCGCTGTTTATTTCGGCGTTCACCCTTTTTCACCAACCAGCTCTTACATCCAAGAGATTCAAACTTTTTGGACTGATTTTTGAACATCTTGAGAGTGCGTTTTTGTTCCAGTGTTATCGCTGAAAACAATCAACAACGATCAGATCTGGAGACTTTGTTTACGTCACAGGAATAAACAATAAGTCAGAACAATGAATGGAACCTAAATGAAGCCAAATGATGACAAACAAACAAAGAACAAACTCACAATTAAATGGAAAAACAAAACAAAAAAAGCATCCAATGACACAGAAGGATAACACAAAGATACAGCCTGCAGTTTCGTAGGCCTATCCATCCATTTAATTGAGATCTATTATTTTCCCATTTAAATATCTCTCATTTCAACTATTTAAGTTTAGATCGGTGGATAGTACCACAGTCACCTCTGTTTATAGCTCACCCAGAATCTGTTACCTGGAAGACAATTCACCTCTTTGAATCTCTTTGAACGTGGACTTGTTCCCAAAAGTCTTGTTGCAACGCCAGAGAGCGTGCTTTAATGTGAGCAGTGAGTACTGACATTTCAGACAATCTGCTGTGATTTTTTTTTTTTTAAGTCCTAATTTAATCTACATTATTCAAAACACTGTCTGGAAAGAGTTAGGATTTTGAACCGAGTCTTACTTTGTTATTGCTTCACTAGTTTGTTTTGGATTCAGCATTTTCCTGTTCCATTGTTTTTTTTTTTAAACTCTGTTAATGTTTAAATCTTTCTCTGAAATATTCCTGAATGCTGACGAAAGTGTAACCTGTCACAGAATCTTGAGGCTGAGAGGCTTCACGAACGAGTCCAGATATTGTAACTCAGAGCGGTTTACAAAGGCAGCATGCTGGAACGAGGGAGACCAAACTTTTGGATCGTATCTTCAAATCTCCGCACTTGTGTCTGAATGCCCTTTTATTTATCCACAACGACCTCAGAGTTCACGGTTTATGTGCTCATACTGTTCAACCCGATTGTCTGACACGACCTGTAGAGCTTAAAATCAGGACAGAGCTTTCACAATTGACAATTGAAACCTCCCAGACACAGAGGTTGAAGTAGTATTTTTGTGTATTTCAGTTGTCTCATATATGCACGGCTCAATAAGGTTACACACGCCGGCCAAAATGTTCTCTCTCTCTCTCTCTCTCTCTCTCTCTCTCTCTCTCTCTCTTCTCTCTCTCTCACACACACACTCAGCATCAAGCTGAACACAACCTTGCTAGCAGCTAAATCATAACAATCGTTCCCTGTCAGCTGGAGGTCTGAAGACGGTTCCTGTTCCTGATGAGGAGGGGTAAGACAGATTTTAAACTAGGCGTGCCTGCTGTTGTCATGGCGATTTCAGACGTCGTGATTTTTGTGCAGGCACAATCCGGAAGAAGAAAAGACCTGAACTTGGGGGCATCAGCTCGTGCCTCTGCTCTCACTGGGCGAGTGTGTGCAGTCGTATGACGCATGATGAGGATCATCCGACCGGTCAGGAGGAGCAGCTGATCGAACGACGCACGACTGACGGCGCAAATCGGGGGTGAAAATCTGCTGTACGACTCAAAAAACAAAAAAGAAATCGGGTTTAGATCGGCCTGAAGTCGTGCACTGTACACCGGGCTTTACCTGCCAGATGAGTTGTGTGAATCTGACAAGTTGAATCAAAAGGATGAGGTCTGACAGTGGGTTCTCCTAAAGGTGTGATTTCAACAGTCTGTGTTGATAATACTGGCTGAGGTGTTTTGACAGTTTCACACCTGAAGGAGGAGAACAACACAAACCCAATCTCCATGATCTTCTGCTTTGTCTGCAACTTTAAATTCAGTCTCACCCCCCCCCCTGCCTCTATGACCCTTACCTTTTTATAATCTCTATATAATCTCACCACTAAATGCAGTTAATTGCATCAGATAGCCCGTGTGCAGCCGGCTGTTTGTCTAATGTCAGGAGCCGATTCAGCATGCCAAATCTGCTGTCGTGTTTATCGAACAATCTGTCCATTCTTCTGTCGAATCTGACGTTCATTTCATCATGCAGCAAAACAAAATAGAAAAAAAGCATGTCTGCACATTTATTCAACTGTATCATACATTTTTCATGGCGGCGCGGAGAATGTAAATAGAGGCATTCACCTTGAGCTATTCATACACACACTCGCTCACACACACACACACAGATGGAGAGATAGATGGAGGGATTGGATTTAGTGAACATGACCTTGTAGCTGTCTTTTCATTATTGAGACTCGAGGCTTCAGACCAGCAGACGTTCGACTCGACGGATTCTGAGCATGAGTGCTAAAAGATTGGCGCTCTGTATTTACCCTTTTTTACCCGCTGTGGCTCAGAATAGAGCGCTGCAGGGCAATACAGAGTTACTGCTTTGGGAGAAGAGATAACTATCATTTCTTCATCTACTAATTTGACAAATCTATTCTGTATTGAACTGATTATGTTTTGACTTGTTGTCAAAACCACTTTTTTTTTTAAAGGTCTCCTCTTTGTAAAGCTCTTCATTTTACTCTATTGTCTCGGTCGAAGACAAAGAGGACACGGTATTTCATTCCACATCATGACTACTTATGGGCTCGCTCAATCACCCCGTCTGACACTGGGTGTTGAAGAAAGATTAAACATCATTCCCCCTCCCGAGAGGAGTGCAATCATCTTGAGCCGTTATCAAACATGCACTCCTGAAAATGTTGAGACAATTCCAGACAGACTGGCCCCCCCCGGAAATCTTCCTGAGTGTCTTGTTCACACATGCTCCTCAGTCCTCTCAGCGGGAGACTTTCCATGTAAGACAGGAGAAGGGAGGGAGGGACGTCATGATGTTGAAAGGACGCGCTAAGATGGGGCCTGTTCACAGTACAGACAAATGAGAGGAGAAACACAATGAAGTAGTTTTAATTATGTGCACATGAAGAGCTCACTGGTTGGGTAATGTAAGCGTTATCACCCCCTCCCACTCACTCCCAGGTTTTGAACCAATGGACTCATTGTCAAAGCGTGTCATCCTCAGGTTTTCAAAGCGACTCTCTTTTAGGTCAGAGTCATGTTGGGCTTCTGTTTGAACCCTTTCACTGCTCACTACAGTGGACGGCTGTTCAGAAGCTGTTTTCTGCCAAATGCATCACTTTGACGGGATAGTTTCTCTTCTTTTTTTTTTTTTTATAAAGTTGATTTTGGGGCTTTATGCCTAGAATTAAGGACAGGACAGTGGATAGAGTCAGAAATCAGAGAGAGTGGGGAACAACATGTTGGAAAGAAGCCACAGGTTGGATTTGAACCCGGGCTTCCCGCTCTCGAGGACTATAGCCTCAGTACATTGGGTGAATTGATTTATTTATTATTAAACTATAACGTGAAGGTTTTTCTTTATTACTTTCTGCGAGTTGTTCGGTCGGTTTCAGTCAGTGTTTTTCCAATAATACTGTTCTCCCATTAAATCAGAATCAGAATCAGAATCGGGTTTTATTGCCATGTACATTTACACATACAAGGAATTTGACTTGGTGTATTGGTGCTAAACAATTAACAAGGAAATAACGCAGAACTAGCAACAACTTAAATAATACAGTATAAGAAGCTATTACAATATATAAAATATAATAAAAAAATATAAAAAAAATAAATAAAGTAAAAAACACAAAATGTGCAATGTAGGATGAGTGTAGTGGACTATGAGTGTATGTAACCTACTTAAATGTCTGCGGTTGTGCTGCTCTGTCAGCATCCAGGCAAACACTGTGGAGGTACTTCGATCTAAGCCATCAGGTTTTCTTCAAGTAAACAAAACAGGAGAACTCCAAAACTCCGAGACGTCAAATTTAAGACACTCAAAATGACTCCCTCCACCCCAGTGGACAGGTGCACAGTGTACTCCGTCGAAAAACAATAGCAGCGCATTTGAAACGGATCAGAGCGTAGTGGTGCTGCTTTACACGCTCCACGGAAGGACTGCGGCGCTCGCTGTGGAAACACAATCATTGACTTGAGTGGCAGCGAATGGTAGTCCGCTGGCGGAGTATGTGGAAACTAGGGGGTACAGTTCAAAATCACCCCCTCCCCCCGGACTCCATGACCGTTATCAGGTCTCACCACATCCAGACACATACGCTGAAACACACACACCTAATGCCGTTGATGCATGTAGTGAGTCATGCATTAAATTCTAATATCTTTTTTAAAGCTTTGAATTAGATTTTGACATAAACACAATCACCCTAACTAGAAACACATCATTCAAAAGCTAGACTTTCCAAGAATCCAGAGTGGTGGTTTTCTCTTCTTTCCCTTCAGCAGTTTAAATTCAGTCTCCCTACAGACTGTGTGCTCCTTTGTTCTCCTTCCTGTACCGTGTGTATATACTGTATGTCTGTATTCACTCTGAGCGGGAGCAGTTATCCTCCTAAGCCTGCAGAGTCAACGTCTGCACCAATTACACGCTTTATACATTCAACATCCTTCCCCCAGAATCACTGTAGCCTCGAGCGCTCCCATAAACAAAGCATAATGTGGCTCCATGCGTTTAACACAACATGTGATGCTTCGATGATCGCCTCTAACGTGAAAACTGCCCTTCTTCTTCTCATTGGCCGCCTCTGCGGTGACTTTGAATACCACTGTTGGTCCGACGAGCAAAACGCAGAGGGCTCGGAAAAACTGTGAATCCCCTTTTTTTTTCACTTTCTATTTTCAAATTTTATAGTGAGAACAACAAACGCTGCTGATTCAGAAAACAGGCAGCAGTTTGATTCATCATGAGAGGGATTTAATGAAGCTCAGAATGTAACAGGATTTTTGAATTAAAGTCAAAACCGTCCAAGGAGTGGAGAATTATTAGAGCTGGCCTGATATGAGATTATTGGTATCCATTAACGATTTGGCCGTCCATGGAGAATATTAGAGCCAGGATAAAAATAGACTTTGAAAATAGAGGACGGTGGGCTGAAATGAGGATGGTACAGAAGTAAGCAAAAGGCTGCCATTAAAAAAGACTCTATTAAAGAGTTTTTAACATGATAATACCAGTCCACCTATTCCAGTCTGTTCAGATGTGATGCTCCTCTTCCTGTGCTGCACACAGTGCTGAGAGCAGGGATAGGTTAAGGAGCTGTTTGGAGTCACTTTAATCAGAGGAATAAAAAGGACAGGGCTGGGCGATATATTGTTGTAACATCCCAAATGTGATGTTGGCATGCTCTACTCAAAATCGGACTTAGTCTCAAGATCACTTTCAATGTTACAATTCACTTAGCAGACGCTTTTATCCAGGCGATGTACCGCCGCCTACACTTTTTGAAGGTCTTTGTCTCGTCTGCGAATCGAAAGATCGAGAGCGTTTGTATTTTGGTCTTGTCTCAGACTGGGCAGACTCAGGATTTTGAATCAAGAACACCAGTGATAGGCTCATTTTTGATAAGAGGCCGCAACCTTCCCAGTGTTACAGTCTAAGTGAGGGACACGCCCGCTGCACACAAGATGATGATTTTTCAGTGATATTTTTATGGTCTTGGTCTTGTCTTGGTCTCACCCTGCCTTGGTCTTTGTCTTGATTCGGTCTCGATCCCTAAATGTCTTGGTCTTGCCTCGGTCTCAGCGCACTCTGGTCTTGGTCTTGGTTGGTGAGGTCTTGACTACAACACAATGCACAATAGTTGTTTGATGCAAACCAAAATCGCTAGTTTTCTTGTTGCCATGGCGAATCTTCAATTAAAGCCTGTCTGATGTCACCATCAGCAGTCAGAGAATTGACACCTGTGCGTGCAGCGTCTGTGTATCCTCTGTGTGTAAAACTGTACAGGCTGCAGGCGATGCTGCTGCCGACACAGATCTATACATAGGCATGACGCTCGAGGGCGCTCAAGACGGTGAGCTTCCATTTCATTAGACGTTACGCTCACAGAGGTGGTCCTGTAGATTTTTCGAACATTGTTAGTTGAGTCTGTCTTTGTGTATTCAGGTTGTATGTATAACGCTAAGTATGTGATTGTTTTGTTGCAGTGTCAGCATGTCCAGTGAGGTGCAGCCGAGGCCGGACGACAGCCCCAACACCAGTGGGGGCAGCTCGGACGCCGAGCAGAGGGAGGCGCCTCCACCGGAGCAGCCGGGCCCCGAGCAGCGGGACCAGACCCAACCCAAGAAGAAGGAGGCCAAGATCTCCAGCAAGACCGCCGCCAAGCTCTCCACCAGCGCCAAGAGGTAAATCTGCTTTTACTCTTGTGTCCCTGATGGAGCTGTTGAAGTGCTCATCCATTATTTACTCATTGAGTGGATTTATTTCTCCTTCTTTGGAGCTACACGTCCTCACTGCCGAGCTGTGTTGTGGCTTTTCAAGAGATCATCAGTCAATCAAAGCAGAGCATGGCTGAAACTGCCACTTGATAAATTGTTTCCTAAGCAGCATTAAAATAACAATTCAGTTTCTGATGGATCATTTGAGTCATTTATGTGGACCAAAAGACTCATCGTTCTTTGGTTCCAGCTCCACAGATGTGACAACGTGCTGCTTTTATCTGTTTTCTTTCAGTGTAATTGAACGCTTCTCCGTTCTGCACTGTCGCCCTGCAGGGCTCTGTTGAATTATAATGCAGAGGTTGTTTCCTTTATAGCAGTTAATCAATACGATGGAAAAATATGGGGAAAAATAATCAATGATGAAAATAGTCATTCATTACTTTGCTAATGAGGTTTGATTTTTTTTTTTTGAGAGTGGAACTATTTTCTTTGTTGAATCAGCCGCAGACTTGTGTTTACATGTTTCTTAAAGCAGCTCTTTCTGTGCACTAGGCCAACTTTCCACCCCGACACCACACACACAGAGCTGCTTCATTCTGACATTCATTCATTTTCTTCCTTAATTGAATCTGTTGATGTCAAAAGTCCTAGTTAATCACGCAGCTGCTCATAAACACAGTTCTTCTCATCACATTGGATCAGTTGTACATTAAACACAGAACAGACAGCACAGATCATATCACATGCAATCTTTTTTTTTTTTTACATTCATTTCATGTCAAAGGAAAAAAAAAAACATGACCATGACTTGTTTGTGAAAACAAAGTGTGGCTGCCTCTTATGTAATAATCCAACCAGATCACTGGGTTGATCATCTAAGAAGGGTTGCAAAATATTGTGAAAGAGGTTGTCATTATTCTTTAATTTAGCACTCATGGGGTTCCATTAGGGAAAACCTTCCAACGCTTCTCTGTATCATAGCATCGTTTTTACCGGAGGAACTTCCCCCAGAACTTTTTGAAGAACTACATGTGTGTTGACCGAATCTACCAGGGTATACATTTAGTTCTAGGGTAAATAATCTACCCCGAAATAAGACCCTTTCCAACACTCGATGGAGTCAGTGGATCCTTTTGCAATGTAATACAGAACGATGAAAAACAACACAAGCTAACCTCCTCTGTGCCAACGGGCTAACTGTGGGGTCGCACTGATAATGACGCTGGCCTGGCCTTCAAACTTATATTGCGTCATCTTTATGGCCTTCCACTTTTTCTTACCGCCACCTATCGGACTGGCAGCGTAGTGCAGTTACATTTATTGCTTCCGTATGTCTTTGGCCTGATTTGCATGATCTTCCGGGGACTTTAGGCAGCGGTCAAAATGCTGACAACATGGGCCACAGGATCAGATCAGTTCCTCAAAGAGAAACCCCCAGAACTACCGTATATACTTCCTGGGACCATTGGTTTTAAAAGTGGCTGTAGTGTGACTGGTGGAGTCTTCTCCTGAATCCACTGGAACAGAAGCGACTGCTTGCAGTTTGAATGTAGGCAGATTTTTTTTTAATCGCCTGCAGGTTCAGTAGCTTGCAGTGGGTGATGTTGACAGGCTGCATTTCCTGTCATGACGCCGCATGTCTGTGACATAGCTTTAGAAAGATTCTAGAATACCTCTCTTTGCTTTTTATTCTTGTGTATTGGTCACACGAGTACATAGGACCAACCTACTTTTCTGATGAAATGAAAGTGTGTCTTCTACACTGGATTTAAGGGTAGTTACTTTTGCATGTAACAAACTGGCCTGGACATATTTTGGCTTTCTGGCTAAAAAGTACATTTTAGAGCATGCACACTAATAAGTGGACTTCGGTTCTTCTTGGTTGATGATTTACTTTGTCAACTTTTAGGGGAAAAGTCACTTCACCCTTTAAGCAGTTCTTACAGAATACTGAGACATTTAGTCTTTATCTAATAATTTATCTAAACTCTTCTTTTTACATAAAAAAATGTTACTATAAGTTAAAGATGTTCAGCGGTAGAGTTGGTCGTCTCCCAACTGGAAGGTCAGGGGTTCCATCCCCAGCTCCTGCAGCTACATGTCTGATGTGTCCTTGGGCAAGACACTTAACCCCAAGTTGCTCCCGCTGCTTCATCTGCGGCGTATGAATGGGGTTAGTTACTTCTGATGGTCACTTTCCATAGCAGCCTCTACCATCAGTGTGTGAATGTGTAGGTGTGACCTGCGGTGTAAAAAGTGCTTTGAGTAGTCAGAAGACAAAAAAAAGCGCCTACACAAGCTCAAGTCCATTTACCACTTATCTGCTTTCTCTCACCTGGTAAACTTTTTGCATGACAGTCAGATTGCCAGCTTAAAAAAAACCCAGCGTACCCAGATCCCAAAGTCTGATGTTAGAAAAGAGTGAGTGGACACGTTTTTCAGATGGTGTTCCAACATCTGACGAGCAATATGACTGATGTGTGCTGACAATTTAGAAATCACAATAATGGAGTAATTCTGGTGTTTTCAATATTAACCACCTGATCACACTGGAGCATATAGCCAGGACTGTAACTGCCATCTATTACTGCACGCCTTCCCGTGTAATTCATCTGTTCCAAGTATTTCTGAGCGAAAAAAACAACAACCTTAAATGACTCACTGAGGGATCTGATTTGTACCAACCCACCCAGCAATGACCTCTTATCAGCAGAGATGGGTGCAACATAAAAAAAAAAACCGAGAGCCTTGAGGGTAACTACTTTATGGGAAGGTTGACAGGCGCTGTGTTATTTAGTCGCTCTCAGTGCTTCTTCCTGTAATAAATCATCAGCCGCCCCACACAGAAGCCGGAGCTGCTGTTCTCCATCACAAAATCTTTGCTCGGGTGATATCGACTTATTAGCATTAGTCGATGCATGCAGAATGTAATAGTTTACCGTGTGTTGTGTCTCAATGGATTATCAAATGCAATGAGCTGCGGAGCATCACAGAAAGCAGGTGTTTTTTGGGGGAAAGAGGCCGTGCACGAGCGAGACGAACTCGCAGTATATAATCAGAGCTGTTTCCCTTTGGATTCCCCCGGCCTTGTTCATCGCTGCACTCTCTCTCTCTCTCTCTCTCTCTCTCTCTCTCTCTCTAACAGGTCCCCAGCTTCAGCAGACAGAATGTGCCACCTCAGGAAATACTGCAGATAAAATTACACAGCACGCACTCAGGCTGAGGATGACTCCAAAAACCGTGGAGATTGTATTACAGGCTCCTTTGCAAATATGTCTTCCCCCCCCCCCCACACTGCTTCCTAGAGTGAGTCGCGTGCAGTCATTTCCCCACAGAGGGGAGTTAAAAGGAAAATCCCCTGTTGGATAATCCCAGCATGTTATGTATCATCAACCTGCGATGTACTCTTCATTCCAGGAACTCTTTCATGATGATGGAGAGTTGTAATAGACATCTTTGTGCAGACATTCCTTAAGCCGGCCTTGTGTTCAGCGGCCGATTCCTCTTTTTTTTTTTTTAAATTACCCACAGTACTCGCAAAGCTCTCGTAAGGGAGCAGCAGGAGTTTTTACTTTAAAGCTTGTTTTTATTTTGTACACAAGAAGGCTGATGTTCAGACTCTGCACACAGTGGAACATTATGCCATTAGCAGCCTCCCACTCACCCAGTGGAAGCTTATTGTACCCATGATGTCTGATCATTTGGACCTTTTTAGTTGATAGAGTCACAGACGAGGAATTCTCAAGGAGAGACTTGTCACACATCTCTGAGAGAGAACTGAGGATGCTGCAAGTCTATAGACAACTGGTTCCCAACCTGTGGTCCTGTCCCCCGTATAGGGGCGGCAATGATCTCAGGGAGGGTGCAAGGGCTAAATGGGATTGTATAGTCTTCAGACTACTCAAAGCGCTTTACACTGCAGGTCACGCCTACACATTCACACACTGATGCAGGAGGCTGTTATGTAAAGTGACTAAGTGATTAGAAGTAACTAACACCATTCATACACATCCATACGCTGCTGTGTCTTGCCCAAGGACACATCTGGCATGTAGCTGCAGGAGGTGGGGATCGAACCCCAGACCTTCCGGTTGAGAGGCGACTGACTCTACCGCAACCGCCCTGTCTCTCTCTGAGGATGTCCAAATTAGATTCTCCCCAGGATGTCAGAAATGATAGGCGGGGGCGATGCTTTATCTGGTAAAGCAGGTCGAAGCTCTTTAAAGAATTTAAATCACACTGAATTTGACGGATTTCCCTTACATCTACTATTTCAGCATCTTTGATAAAACACATTTCCTTCAATCATCTAGAGATGAAGTGGAATGTCATGTAGGCTGACGTCGCGTCGCACTGTTAGTATTGCCCTTCCATTTATTACTGTGTCGATGGTGAAACAATAAATCATGTCAACATCGACTGCTTGTCTTTCTGCTCGCTCTCTCCTGCAGGAGCAGATTATTTTCATGTCCCAGATAACAAACAGCTGTGAGAACATGCACTATGATCAATACAAGTTGTCAATTATTTCTTTATCTCTCTCTCTCTTGTTTTGGGTTTTTTACAACCCTGAATAAATTGAGAGTTAAAGCAGTTTAACAAGAATCAAGGGGAATGGAAACAAAGAACCTCGATTTAGACGATGAACTCTTTACCTCAAGGGCTATTTAATGTCCGGCTTTAATCACATTTCATCATCTTCATTTGGAAGTTGCAATCTTGAGAGTAAAACAATTTGATTTGTTTTGTCACTTTATGATCTGGGTTGACTGCAGGGAAGCTCCATGGTGTGCTTTCTGCTTTCTCTGACTTTTCTTATCACAGTTCACATTAAAAGCCTTAAAACAGGAGTGTAATTGTGCTTTCAAATTACCCGGAGGGTTCACGTCCAGTGAGTGGTAGGGGGTTGTGATGTTTATTACCTGGGATTAGTGCACAACCAAAGACTGTATGCATGGGGCCGCTACGATCTCCATGCATGTACTTAAACCGCAGCATTATGTTTAATCTATTCCAGTATGTTCTTCTACACTTTTAAGTTTAGATTTTGATTCTGTCCGACTACACATACCATTGATTTAAAGACAAATATTCTCATTATAGCATCCTGTAGTGGAAAAAATGCAGCTGTTTGCATTCACATATACAGCTCCTCCGGGAAATATCCGGAGGAGTTTTTCAGTGTGAAAGCCCTACATGTCATGTCTTGCCTCAGGAGACCCCCTGCTCTCCCCTCTCCCATCCAACAGGGATAGTCTCCGACTGTGAGGCGGTTGTGTGAACAACCCGATCAGGAGGATTTCAGGGGCAGTCCTCATGAAATTCTGAGTGCTTATGTGAAAACGGCTTCAGCATGTCAGATGTGTGTTTCTCTGCATTGATGAATAACAGCTGCATTTATAGCTGACTTAATGGTTGTAAAGTGTAGCATCTGGAGCCTCATAGGCACATCTCCGCATGGAATTCTTCTGGAATTCTTCTTAACCGCGGAGAAATTTGACCTCTCCATGGTGTGTTCATTAAACCGTTCTGAAGTGCCCGGTGTGGAAATGCTCCCAGCAGCCTCCTGTAAGCGCGAGGGGTGAGACCGAGCCGATTGGCAAGGAAAAATTCATTAACCTTCATACATCAGATATGATTCCTCTATCCGACATGCTCTATTGACATCAATATCAATTCACGCTCGTCTGGATTCTAAAAAAAAAAAAAAAAAGGGCCAAGTATTCAGCCGCACATCCCTGTGTTGATCTTGGTGACAGCACTGATTCCTATATCCAGTCACATCGCTCAGAGGCTCATTAGAAAATCAATGATGCATTCAGTGCGTACACTTAGATTGATTTCACATGCAAGATTTATACAACTGTCTGTGTTTTGTGTGTGTGATTGTAACACAGATCTCCCCTCTCGTTTCAGGATCCAGAAGGAGCTAGCAGAGATAACCTTGGACCCGCCGCCAAATTGCAGGTAGGAGCCTGTTGATTGTGTGTTTTTAAAGGGCTCTTTGCTGTGACCCCTGAGGCATTCTGTGTGTGTGTGTGTGTGTGTGTGTGTGTGTGTGTGTGTGTGTGTGTTTGAGCCTGTGTGAGCAGCGTGAATGGATTGTGGCGGCTCAGTGAGTCACATGAAAAGCATAGGTGGATTATTGTGTGTTTTCACCTCTGTTTGCTCAGGCTGAAGTGCAATGAATGGACCTTGTAAGCAGTCTGAAGCGTGAATCAGACTCATAAAGAACAAATAAATATCTGTGCGATTGACCCGATTGGCAGTGTTTTCCATTAGCAGCACTGTAGCAGCAGTGTTGTGTTTGCTCACACTCCCCGAGGCTGGTAAAGGCACTCTCTCTCTCTCTCTCTCTCTCTCTCGCTCTCTCTGCTGCAGCTCGACTGGTTTGCATGGTTTGTTTTTTCTCCCAAAATCAGAGCGTGGGGAAAGACCGGGGTGCTGCACGCTCCTGCCAATCAAGATCTGAGTAAGAGCTTTCATTGTGTGCGGTTTGCATTGAGTCAGCGGTTTGCTATTCTTCTTAAACTGATGTCTTTTGGGATAAACATTGGAGGGCGAGGGGAAGGCATTGCAGGCAGCAGGTCACTGCAGTCCAGGCATTTCCTGCAGGGGCTGAGAAAGCAGGGAAACTCACTGATGTGAGGCTCACAAATGTTGGCCACAGCCCGGATTACTCACTCAAGAGTTTTTTATTTTTGCCTGAAACCCCTAAACTTGGATGCACCAATAAAGTATTTGTTCTTCCTGCACCAATCCTGATACACCAGCTCATTTTCCTTGATATTAAAAAGTCAATTTGTTAAGCTAATGTGGATCACACAGACTTATTTTAGCATATTTTACCATAAGAAGTATGCAAATTGCTCCAGGAGATTTCTACAGCCTACAGCTGCAAAACGGGCTGTAATCGCTGCAAGGTAATCCTTAGAGGCGATGCACCCTATCAAAGTTGGTGAATGTTTTTTTTTTTTGTCACTGACAGACTCAGATTGTTACGTTATACGTTTCTTACAACACAGAAAAATACCTTTTTTAATGGTTGCTTTTTATAACCAAAAACAGTTCCCATAGGAAAAACTGTCGTTTCACTCAGCAGAATGTGGGAGTTGCTGGTCCACCGCTGCCTAAAGAAGCTAGTTTATATGTATAAATTATGGCTGCAAATGGTTGGTTTTGATCAGTCACAATATTTCTGTAACACAAACTAACCAATCAAGTTAGTGGTGGAGAAAAAAAACCACCTTGTGGTGAGAGGTTAAAGGCCGGGTTTGTCATTTTCAAAAATGAGCATGATTTTGAAAGTAGCATTCCCTCAGTGCTCCGTCTGCTTTATGTGGATTGTGGTGTCTTTGAAGAAAGAAAGAATCTTTAAGATCAGACAACTGGAGCAAAATCAATAGTTTGGTACTTGGTAGTCATTGAGAGACCAAAATATGTGAAAATAGGGCAACGGTTAAAAAATACTGTAATCCTCCTTCCTGTATGCACGGAGATATTAATTCACCATTAAACCTTGAAGGCGTGTGCAAATATGTAAACTAAGTGAGTCAGAAATTCTGATAGAGTTTCACCCGTAGTCTGACCTTCGGGTAGATACATAATCATGTTTAACGTGTCTTATAATGTTTACAGTATGTGATGCAGGATTACTGGTGTGGCATGCATACCGTTCAGAGCGCTCTGAGCTCCAGTGATGAACAATGAGCAGTCTCTCTATGCTATATTCATACGTCTTCTGTTTCTGTAACAGCTGAGGTGTGCCTGCATGCGTGTGTACTGTGTATGGATGTGATTTTTCTTTGTACTGGGGACAATCCTTGTCAAGGAAATTCAGCATGGACACTTTGGAACGGAGAGGTCGGGGATTTCACAGCTTCATTTTTGTCAGATTGTAGAAAGAAATCTTTTCTTTGCAACATTATAAATTCTCTTTTCTCTTCTATTATCTATTTTTTGACAAATGCTCCGTGTCCTACTATGACTGAACATTTGGAGAGGTGTTAAAAAGCCATTTCCTCTTTTGAAAAGTTTGCATTGTGCAGACAGCTACATGACTGAAGGTTGAGCCTTCCACCTGTCACAACAGAACAATTTGTCAGCTGGCTGCTTGCTGTTTAAACTCACAGCCTCTGAAGTCTTTAAGCCCGGTGAGGAATGACAGAAAATAACCTGTTTTTTTTTTTTATGAAGGTACTATCTGTCACAGTCGCAGTCGGTTTGTCGGATCTTAAGAGACAAGGCTAATCTGTCTGAAGCAGGCCATTATGTTTCCTGACAAAGGGCCAAACAGCAGAGGGGGAAAAGGAAATTTCACGGCTAGACGTTTGTGTTGAAAATGACATTCTGCTGCAAAAGAGAAGATTCCTTGGAAGAACGTCCGCGCTGAAAGGAGCCCTCATGACGAATGGATCGAGCTCGGCTGCAGTCAGGAGTCCTCAGCCATGAGTGGAAAAAGTTAGGACCAGGCTGCTTGAGCGTATTTCAGCGTCGGGCAGAGGAGTGAAACGAGCCGGCGGAGTCCCAGCGCTACTTGAAATGTAGATTTTCTGTATTCACATGCACCCTTGGGGTATTTGGGGCACTCTAACAGATTTAGCCCCGCCCCCCCGGAAAGAAATAGGCTGTCACATCCCGGTGTTTGATTCAGCCTGCGTGTTTTACCACAACAATCCCGATTCAGCCTGTTCTTTTGTGCCGTTACCAAAGCACAACCGCACATTGTGAGCTGCTGAGATAAATTCATTTTACAGTACGTCCACACACGCACACGCACACGCACACGCACTCACACGGTCTGTTTGAACAAAAGGCTCCTCGTCTCCCGGCCCCTTTCTTCACCTGCTAATTGATCTGACAGTGTTAAATAGGCTGTGTTCTCTGAAAGACATCAGATGTGTGGGGTTATGAACGGACGCTGTGATGCAGCTCATTACCCCACAGGATTCAGCTCTTCTTCTTCTTCTTCTCCTCTTCTTTTTTTTTTTTTTTTACCACCATCATACCAGAATAAAAGCGCAGCTCATGATCACAGCCGCTCCTACAAACACCCTCTCTGGCTCGATTTCTGCAGAAATAGACGCAGCGAGACTTTAAAATTCCTCCTGGGAGTGAACATTTTAAAAAAACACCTTTTAACTTTTTACTGAGACATCGAGCCTCGTTTCAGAGATCACTTGGCTTCATTTTAAAAGGACTTAGCAGGTTTTTTTTTGGTTTTTTTTTGGAGCCATATGAGGAAAATGTTCTTCATTCTTTTTAATCATCTTTGTCACCCTGCCAGAAAGTAATTAATTGAATGTGACAGGCGCTCTAGAAGGGTATGTAAATAGCCCCCCACACCAGACACGTTATATTAGCCTGCATGGTGCTTCACCGGCCTTCATGGCTGTGCGTGTGTGTTAGCATGTGTGTGTTTTTTTCAATAATTACCATATCCTTTCATGATAGTCCTGGCAGCGTTTTGATAAGAATCCCCCATCGGCTGAGGGGAAACAATGAGTGGATTCCAGGGGGGAATTGGCCACGCTCTCTCTCTCTCTCTCTCTCTCTCTCTCTCCCTCTTAATCCCGGCATGGTCCAAAGGCATAACTTTTCCATCGAGTATCGGTGAAGATCTTCAGAAATAAAAGCAATAAAGCAGAAGGTATCGCTGCGGAATGGGTTGAATGACAGGAATGGGAATTAATTTATAACTTATCGGGTTGTAGATATGATTGACTCAAACACGTCTCAGATTTCATTGGATGCGGGATAGCGATGGTTCACTTTGTCATCATCATTGACACCCAGCTGTGTAAAGAGGTAGTGAGCAATTTAATTATGTAATAGTAAACATTCAAATGTAATTTTTGAATAATCCCAAAACTGCTCACCAATTCAAGTTACTAGTTCAAATTTGATTGCTTTGTACCCAACCCTGTAAGAAATTCATTCAAATATTCGGTCTTTGCCGTACCCTCCGGTGTTTCCCCGGCGACGATAAACATGTTGTGTCTGTCATGGCGGCTGCCACAATAGGCACGGGCTTTACAGCTGCAATATTACAGTTTTCTCTGACAACTGTTGGAAAAATAATAGGCAATGAAATATATACATTCTACATATAACACCTTTAACAGCACATTTCTTTGTAACTATTATTTGAAACATTAAATCCACATACTTGTTTTGTGCACTTTTACACGTCATCATCATATCAATGAATCTATACATTAGCACACAGCATCATGTCCAGCTCGTGCAGCTGCACACGGCTATGATTGCTCCAGCGTGATAACTGGTGTAACGTACGGACAAAAGCCTGAGCTGTGAGCAGCTGTGATCAGAGTCGATGCTGCGTTCACTGTCCTCTGTGTGTCCACAGCACAGCTGAGGCAGAATGCGGCGTTCACATTCATTTCACGCTTCTGCAGCTTCTCATGTTTTTTTTTTAAACATCAAAACTGAAGATGATCTGCAGCCATGATGCTCTCCTCGTTTGTTTGTTCGTTTGAGCTTCAGCTTCTTCACGTTTGATTTTAACCTCAGGGCCAAAGTTCAGACCCTTTAAAGACAGACCCTTTAGTAGTTCAGTGGTTCTCAACTGGTCTAGCCTCAGGACCCACCAAAAACTCCTTTATGAAAAACTGGGCAGTTCGGACCTCAGACGGTACAAAACATGTGGCATAATGAAATTTGAAGCAAAACAAACATTTGCAAAAAGGCGCTAAAACAACTTTTTAACACATTTTTTTCCAGGCACACAATCGTGATCCACTGAAAACAGCACTGTGACCCTCTTTGGGGCCCCGACCCATCAGCTGAGAAACCCATGCTTTAGTTTTTTTGTTTATAACTCTCCCACACTTGATAAGTAAATGAGCAACACAGACTCTTCATATTGGGGCTTCAGCCAGCATTTAGCTGTCTGAAAGATAGACGTGTTGCTTCTGTCCCTTTATCTCTTGAATGTCAGGGTAACG